AAAAACTATAACTTTGAAATAGGAAGGATGATGTCCCTCTAAAATAATCAATTAGAATGTTGGTCTGCCGTGCAGACTCAGAAGTACCTGAAGAGCGTTCCACCGAGAGTGTTGCCAGTATTACTCTGTTCTCTGATCTGCTAAGAGGTGTCATCTGTGTAACTCAGCAATGGAGGGTATTTGTTCTTAAGCTGTTTTGTTGGGCCTCAGTGTTTGGTACTGTGGTATTACCCTGTAGCAGTCAGATCCTGACTGATGCTTCCTTCCATTTATGGGAAAGAAGACAGGTGCTGTTGAAGAAAAATGAAACTCAGATGACTTGGCCACGATCATGATAGTCAGAATCGTTGACTCTCCCCAAAATCTAGTTCTAGGTCCTCTACGTGTGAGGACCACCTATACTTTTTCCATCCTTCTTTGTTTGGAATATCATGTTGTAAGCAGCTGAGTTAAGAGCTTCCTTGGCAGAAAAGGAAGGAAGGAAGGAGGGGATAAACTTGTTCAAAGTATACAGTATGCATCTATGACATTATCATAGTAAAACCTTCTTATACTATTAATGTATACTAATAAAAATAGTTTTTAAAAATCTCAAAAAAAATTTAACACAATGAATTGAGTCTTAAATTATTACTGCTGTCATTGTGGTCTGTGAATGGTACATAGCTATACAAAGAGGCCTTTTTTGGAGTGCATTCTACATGCCAAACATTGACCTAGACATTTTATGTACATACCTGTTTAATATAGGAACTTGATATGGCTCTGAACTCCTTGCGAAACTTTGGCTCAATGTTGTGTTTTATTCTGCTGTTTAGCTATCTTGATCATTTATTTTACAATTTCATGTGATCATTGATTGCTAAGCTGTTTAGCTTAATGAAACTGCTTTCACAAGGAGCAGACTACTAATATGCTTAGCAGCATGGATGAATCTCAGCTGCCTTATGCTAAGTGAAAGAAATGTAGCTCAAAAAGCTACAAACTATAATTCAATTTATGTGATGTCTGGGAAGACACAAAACTATTAGGACAGAACACAGATCAGTGGGGAAAGGCAGGCTGCACAGGGGCACAGGGAATTTTGAGGGATGATAGAACTGTTCTTTATCATCACAGGAAGTGCTGGCACTACTGTATGCAGTTGTCAAAACTCAAACCTATACACTAAGAATTGGGGGTAAAAATTATGCCTCAAAAGACCTTCATTATCCCATCAAGTCACCATTGTCCTTGCTAGGACCTCACTTTTCATTCCACAAAATAATAGTTTAGATGAGTGTGACTGACAATTAGCAGAGTTAAATGAAGGTTGCTATAACACCTACCTGTGCCTTTGAAACTTACCTGGGCCTTTGATACGCCTTCTCCAGGTTCCAGGACTCTCTTGTGTTGACTCCATTTAGCACCTACGCCAGGATCAGCACAGGGAATTAACCTTTTAAGGTCTTTCTTCATGACAAGTTATATAGAAGCTGCTGGACCTTGAAGGGTTTGGGTTTTTGCTTTCATGGTGTTGGGGATCAGAGCCAGAGCTGTGTCACAGGGCTACACCCCCAGCCCAACCATGAAGTTTTCTTAGTGTCTTGCTAATACTACTTATAGACTGTGGACTCCTCTAATAAAGGCTTTTTCTTCTAAAGCTGTGACTTCCTATTTGCCATCAAATTCCATAGCCTTCATTAAACTTCCATCTGCTTTCTTTCCTTCTGATAACCACTCAGTCTAGAAATAAGTCAACAGAGACTTCCTGGAGTCAGTGAACATGAATGGCACAGTGAAGGGAAGTGTTACTGATTGGGAGTTTGGTAAAATTCTTATTTAAAGAATTGCAAACAGGAGAACTCTAAATATCAGTGCCTAGGACAGGCTTTTTGGCTAATAATGGCCTCTACCCTGTCAAATGACTTGTTTATGTAATATCTTTGATTGTAAACTATATGTAATTTTGAGATGGCTTTACTTTTTTTTTTTTTTGAGTCAGGGTCTTACTATATAGCCCAGGTTGGCCTAGAACTCAAAATCCTCCTACCACCACCTCTGAAGTATTGTGATTACAGCAGTGCACAGCCATACCTGGACAGATTGCTTTACTTTTAGCTTGATAGTTCTTAATACCTGCAGAAGAAAGAAGATAAAACTGGACATGAAATACTATGTAGTAAGAAAATTCCTTGTTAAGGGACTACTTTACTGGTATTTGGAAACATAAATAATAACCTGTACTATGCCAGTAAGTCTAGGTTAAAGTGGGGCCCATCTCTGACTGGTGGTTCAGACACACATTTTGCAAAACACCATGAAAACTTCCACTACAGTTAGTATCTGAAAGCATCTGGTCTGTAGCATTCCAGACAGGCGTATGTTTCTTTCTCTGTGGTTGGCATAGTCGCTTCCTGTTTGTTTCCTGCTGGTCCACATGGAAGGAAAAGCCAGGTACCAAACTGTTCACTGGATGTAGTTTGCACCTTACCAGAGGAAGTGGATTGTTTAGTCTGGGTTCAAGGACAGGATTAGGCAGTTTCAGTTTGGAATGAGAGTGGACAGCAAGCAGGCAGATGCCTAAGGCAGACTCTGTCCCTGGAGAATTGTGTGCGGCTGCACGCATCACCAGGCAAAGAAGCAGCGAGGTGAAACTGGAGAATTGAGAGGAAAGGTCAGCATGGACTAGCCATGGGGACAGGGCACTGATGAGCATGTCACCTTTGGCATTCAGAGTGATTATTTTCAGAAGCATCAACTTCAAGCCTCTCTCCTGTGAGGCACATTTGCCTACGGGTATGGTTAAACTTTCAAAAGTATACTAAAACTATAGAAGCCTTTCATCTTAAACATTATAACATTTGACTATAAATTAAATGTAGAATGGATTCCTCTCTCTGCTTTACTCTAAATTAGAGGATGTTACTCTTTTATCATGTCACAATATTCAGGTAACACATTTTCCATGGTTTTCCCAGTCTATCTTTAAGTTGTACATACATGACATTCAAATTTAAAAGAATTAAAATTAAGGGCCTGGTGTGGTGGATCCTGCCTGTTATCCCAGCTACTTGGAAAGTGGAGATTGAGAGGTTTGTTGTTTGAGAACTAGCCCAGGCTAAAAGTTAGGGAGACCCCATCTCAACCAACAAGCTGAACTTGGTGGTCCATGTCTGTAATTCCAGCTATGCAGGAAGCATAAGGAGGCTCAAAGTAGCATAAGGTCCAGGCTAACCTCAGGAAAAAACACAAGACCCTACCTGAAAAAATAAGGGCAGAAAGCATGACTCAAGTGTTAGAGTGCTTGCCTAGCAAGCACTAGGCCCCGAGTTCAAACCCTAGTAGCACCAAAAAAGAAAGAGAAAATTAAAAATAGGTTGCTCATCTGTGCAGTTGAGAATCTCTTTCGCTCCCAGTGGTCTGTCGGCAGTTTCAGTTGTGACTTACTAGATTGGGAAGGGAAGTGGAGAATGAGCTGACTGAAGCTATTTCTTTTTTCCTAATTCCAAAGTAATGCACACATTACAGAATTTGAGTTTCCTTCTGTCCTGTAACAAATCTTTCTGTCTCCCATTTCCTAAAGTTCAAAGATTTTCAAGCAAACTGTCTACAGAAAACCAAACAATATATAGAAGACATTTAATTTGAGTTATTTACTTTATTAGCACTAGTTGTAAACTTTCGTTCTAGACTGAACCTTTCACCTCTCTTTTTCTCGTATTAAGTTCGTAATGGGAACACAGTCGTTAATCAAGGTCCAACATAAAACATTACCTTTCATTTGAAAGCCCAGAGAGTTAGAAGGATTCATTTCAGCTGTGTGCCCAAGGGCCAGTAAATCAGATGCTTCTCTTGGCCTTAGGGATATGGCACTAGACCCCTGAACTAGACACACAGGTGCACTTTCTGTGAAGCTTATGCAAGTCTTTTATCTTCCCCCCTTTGGTGGTACTAGGGTTTGAACTCAGGACTTTGTGCTTGCTAGCAACAAGTCAGCAACACAGTTGGCTTTGTTATTTTTGAGATAGGGTCTCACACTTACGCCTGGACTGACCTTAACCACAGTCTTCCTATTTACACTTCCTGCATAGCTGGGATGACAGGAGAGTGCCACCTCACCCAGCTTTTTATTTGTTGATTTGAGGTCTCACTAACTTTTTGCTTAGCCTTGAACCATGGTTCTCCTGATCTCTACTTCCTGAGAAGCTAGGATTACAGATGTGAGCCACTGGGTCTTTCTTTTCCTTTTGATTTTTTTGTTTTTGAAAATTTGGACAATTCTGTATCTCTGACAAAGTCCTTTAGAGTACCTTCATCTATAGGCTTTATATTTTGAAATTTTTAATGAGCCTTTTATTCCTATAGCCTTTAGTTACATGTTAAAAGTACATTCATATAATAAAATCAGTTGTAATGTATTTGGTGGATCATATAACTGAGTATTTTCTGGATATGTTCTGCAAACCCGTGATAGTGCTGCTCACAGTTGAACAAACATTTATTAAATTCTTGCAGTAGGAAGGTACTTTTTAAAGAGCCTTATATCGGATAGGAATGGGTAAAACACAGCCTTTGTTCTCAGAGAACTGGTAATCCTGGTGGCAGAAGCCAGCACTTGCTCAAGCGCTTCTCAGAAAGAGGCCAGTGCGGAAGCAGCACAGTTGAGGTGCACTGTGCCTAGTGTGCGCAGCTGTGCGTCTTTGCTTCCTGTCCCTGCTGCAGAGGTGGGAGGGAGAGAACTTAGAGCTGCAGATTTGACTTTCTGAATTTAATCCTGTACTCAGAAAATGAAGTTGTTTAAATTTTTCCCCATTTTGGCATTGACTTGCCCCTGTGGTTTTCCCCAAACTTTTCAAGATTTCTTACATGAAATATTCCAGTCATTTTGGTTGACTGTGTTACTACATGCTCCAACATGGAGATTCAAGAGTTAAAGACAGGCCAGGCACGGTGGTGCATGCGATTTTTTTTTCTTTAAAAAAAAAAAAAGAGAAATGAAGAGATGGCTATAGAGGAACTATGGTGGAGAAGAGTAGATATAAGGTAAGAACTTGGTAGAACATTCTTGGACTATAAAAATTGTGAGCCAGTTATCAAATAGGCAATGTGATATCCGGCCACTTGTTTTAGCTTTCATACAATGTTCCAGTGAATGAGTTTTAGAAAGATAGTACACAATATAATGCTAATTCAGTTTGGTTTAATCCAGCACAGACGCAGTCTAGCCTTAGGACTTCTGCTTGCTTAATTTAGGATAAGAATGTAGCTTATGACAAAATTTAGTAATGAGTAATGACTTCCCTGTGGTTTTTCTTAATTTGCTATTTTAAATTTTCAGTCACTTAAGTCTCCTTGACTAACTATTAATCAGTCTAAGTATTTTCTATTGTGTGAACAGCTTGGGGAGTTATTAGAGTGGAATGTCAATTTTATTTATTAGGAACATTTGTATGTTTGAGCCCTCCTTCCTTTGTAGATGAAATATTATAGCTCTCATAGCGTTTGTTTAGTGGACTCACAACAGTGGTTGTTAGGCTTGAGCTTGAGAATTCTGTTATTGAAGAGAGGTTAGATCTGAGGCCATGGTCAAGCAAGTGAGGTCTTTGAGCCCCTAAATCTTGTTTCTAAGGTTATGGACAGGAATTCCTTAACCTCGCCCATCATGATCCCAGTGTAGGATTTCAAGGGATTCAGGTGAACCTGTTCACACCTTTTTGCAGTCCTGGGAACATGGGGTGCTGATGTCCAATTAGTACCCAGCCTCCGACAAGGGCAGAGCAGGGAGTAAATGTCCTCTCCCCTTCGTGTGGAGGTGGAAATAGCCACACAGAAGTCAAATGACCAAAATTGAAGTCCTATGTTTTGGAAATAGGGGGAAAAACAATTTTTACTGCCTTAGTAGTCTTGTGACTTGAACAGGTTTATTTAACCTGTGTCTGTTTAGTATTTTTTTATCGGTATATAATTCACATACAGTTCACCACTTAAAACCAAGTATGATGGAACCAGCCTGTCTTCCCAGCACTCAGGAGGCTGAAGCAAGAAGATCTTGAGTTCAAGACCAGCTTAGGCTACATAGGAAGACCCTGTCTTAAAAATAAAATAAAATAACCACTTGAAGTGTACAATGCAGTGGCTTTTAGTATTCAATTGTCCCTTGTTTATTCATGGAGAATTGGGTCAGAAACCCTTGCAGTTACCAAAATCTGTGGTTGTTTAAGTCCCTTGTATCAAATGGCTTCACATTTACATTTAACTGGCACACATCCTCCAGTGTAATTAAACTTTGTAGATTACTTATAATTCCTAGTACTATGTAAGTAGTTGTTATACTACATTATTTAGAGAATAATGACAAACGAAAAAAAGAGTACTTGTTTGATACAAATGCACATTTTTTTTCAAAGAGTTTCTATCCATGTTTGATTGAATCCATGGATGGGGCTGACCTCAGACCTTGTTCTTCCTACCTATGCTTTCTGTGTAGTTAGGTTTGCAGGCGTACACCACCACACCCAGCTTATTTGTTGAAATGGGGTCTCACAAACTTTTTTTTTTCTTCTTCTTTTAAATTTTTAAATTTTTTTATTTTTTTATTTTTTTTGTTCATTTATTCACATGTGCACACATTGTTGGGTCATTTCTCCACCCTGCCCCCATCCCCCATGCTTCCCCCCCTCCCCATACTTCCCCCCCCCTCAGTTTCAGGCAGGTCCCATTCTGCCCTTGTGACTGATTTTGTTGAAGATAAGACATAAGCATAATAAGAAAGACAAAGTGTTTTTGCTAGTTGAGTTAAGGATAGCTGTACAGAGAGATTCCTACTATCGCTTTCGTGTACCCATGTGTTACGACCGATGTTGATTCAACTCTAACTGATCTTTACGTTGGTTCCTGATCCCCTGCTAGTGATAACCTGTCATTTTAAGGTTTCTGTATTAGTTCCTCTGGAGTGGGGACATCGAATGCTTTCATGTTTTGGGTTTTCTACCTATTCCTATATCTCCCGTATGTGCTGTCCTCTTTTCTTATCTCACAAACTGTTTTGCCTGGGCTGCCCTCAAACTGAAGTCCTCCCAAGCTCTGCCAGCTGAGTAGCTGGTATTATAGGTATGGACCATTGCGCCCAGGCCTCTTACATTCAAGATTTTGATCAATTTTGAATTTGATTTCTGTATATGGTATAAGGTAGGAGTCCAGCTTTGTTCTTTTGCATGTGATTATGAAGTTATCCCAGCATTATTGTTGAAAAGATTATTTTTTTTTGGCATTTAATTGTCTTGGTACACTTGTTGAAAAATCATTTGATCAAAAATGTGAGGCCCATTTTGGACTGTCACTGCTTTTCCCTGGATCTGTGTGTTGTCCTTGTGTGAGTACTACATACCACACACAAGTACTGCTCTGTCCTGGTCACTGCAACTTTGCAGTAAGTTTTGAGATCAGAAACTATGAGTTCCTGCCAGGCACCAGTGACTCACATCTGTAATCCCAGCTAGTTAGGAGGCAGAGATCAGGAGGATCGCAGTTTGAAGGCAGCCTGGGCAAACAGTTCACAAGACCCTATCTCAAAAAAAACCTATCACAAAAAAGGGCTGGTGGAGTGACTCAAGGTGTAGGCCCAGAGTTCAAGCCCCAGTACTGCAAAAAAAAAAGAAACTGTTAGTTCCTCAACTTTCTTCTTTCTCAAGATTGTTTTGATTATTCACAGTGCCTTGAATATCCACTTGAATTTTGAGATCAGCTTGCAGTTTTTTGCAGTAGCTACAAAAAGGTGAAATTTTATTAGGGATTGTGTTGAATTTGTATGTTAATTTAGAAAATATTGACATCTTAATAATATTAAGTCTTCCAATCTCTTGAACATGGATGTTTTTCCATATATGTAGGTTTGATTTAATTTGAACCATATCATAATGGTCAGAGTTAAGAAGGACAGTCACACATATCTTTCCCCAGAGTGCTATGCCTATAAAAAGCCCTCAGCTACTAGTTAGTTGGGTGAGTTAGACTGGGGACCTTCAGGGCTTCCCCTGGATTTGGGAGTGCCAACTGCTGGATTGTAAGGCCTCATTGGCCACCTGGCTGTAAACCATGTGCTGTTGAACTCCCCCACTGCCCTCTCCACGGGAAGCATGTGGCAGCCAGCTGACTGCATAGCCAGCTGACTTTTCTGGCCGATGGAGTCAGAGGGCTCTTAGAATCTATGACTGTTGTCTCTCTGTCCAACAGCTGGATATCTGCTCTGAATGCGTGTGCTCTTGCCAGCATCAGTTTGTGGTGCCAATCCTGAATCCTGGTGGTAATTATACTAAGATTGCAATGTGAATATAGGGAATTGATGGGGTGAAGCAGTGATTTAGTAATCTTCCCTTCAATCTTCTCCCTAGAAGGAAAAGAAGAAGCACTTCCTGTGTTTTTTATGTGTGTTCTCTTAAGTCAGCCCTCCTATTTCACAACCTTTTGTAATGTTGAATATGTGTTTCTTCTAACTTGACAGATGGCTTGGAGGCCCAAAGAGCTCACTTGCCCAAAATTAAATAGTTCGGATATTGAGTGGGGAGGTGATGAAGCAGTGCACTTGGAAGGATTCTTTCCATTGTTTCATAACTGTTTGAGTATGGCTAGTTTTGTGTAAGAATCATTATGTAGCTTTTCTGAGCCTAGACATGAAATTGGAATAAAGAACCACCCCAGCAGTAATGATGCAGTGCAGTGATCCTGAGACTCTTGGCTCATGCTCCTAGTTACAGCCAGTGACTAATTAAAATGACAAAATATACTAATAACTAACTGATAATAATTTATTTTGCCACCATCATATAAAGGCAAACCCTTGGACTCTCCTCAAAACTTGCTCAACCTAGATCCTTTCTGTTAATATAGAACAGAAACATATGGCTAGAATTTAGAAGTCTATATAATTAATAAAGGTATATTTAAAAGATAGATAATTTGAATACTTTCAATCCCCTGTTAATTTATTCAACTCCATCTCTTCCCCCCCTTCTCTCTCCCTCTCTTCTCTCTCTCTCTCTCTCTCATACCTTCTCTTTTCCTGTTTTGAACTCAGAGAAACTTGAGATCCATTACATTAGGCACAGATGCCTAGGTTCTGTCATTTACTCTATGTAGAATCTGAATTATTTACTTAAACTGTCTATACCAGACCTTGTTACATGGAGAAAATACTAACTCATATCCTCATAAGATGGCAGTAATGAGTAAATGAGTTAATATATATAAGTGCTTAGAAAAGTGGCTGGCATGTATTATGCCATCAGGATGTTAGCTGTTTATCTCTAAAAGTAGTTTTAATAATTAAAATACTGCCACAACTGCTACTATAACTCCACCTCTTCTGGTCCAAGTTGAATTACTTATAATTCACCTTCATTTAAAAAAAGATTAAAGGTGACATGTTCATTATATTACACATTCCTCTCCAGGAAGTTGAGATGTTAAGGAGGCTGAGGCCTGTTTTCAAAACCTGCTATAAAGTTCTTTCCTACTTCCCCTAGATGCTTAGGAAGTAAGCATCCTGCTTACTAGAATCCTAGAATTCCTGCCTGACTGGGTCTAACCAAGGGTATTCCAAGCTCACTTAGTGTCAACCACATTCAAATCAAATAAACTCGATTCAGAGATTAATGAAAAGTCCTGTTTTAAGACCAACATAAAGAAGGTAATTTCTATTCCTTTCAAATTTAGATAAATAACAGCTGGATAGGTCCAGAGGTATGCAGTGTTCTGAGTGTTCATGTGAATCTCTATCTAAACTTGCTTTCTTCTTTCAAAAAAATTCCTAGAAAGTTCTCAGTGTCCTGGAATTATAGCTGAAACCAATCACAGTGTCGGCATTGTTTCAGGCACACAGTTATAATGGGTCTAAGTCAAAGTGGAGTTAAACAATTAGACAGAACTCCCTCTAAGTTTGTAACACCCTTTCTCTTCCTCTCCTAACCACAGGCATCTCAGATGAAGACATCATCAACATCACTCTTCCCACTGGAGTTCCAATTCTGCTGGAGCTGGATGAGAACCTGCAGGCTGTTGGACCTCACCAGTTCCTGGGTGACCAAGAGGCCATCCAGGCAGCCATTAAGAAAGTAGAGGATCAAGGAAAAGTGAAAAAAAACAAAAAATAAAGTGCTTCCCAAGTGCAGGCGAGCAATAGATGTAAAAGGACTGGTGTGCATTGTGTTCTGAGTGCTAATTTCTCTTTCTTTCTTCCCTGATTGTCCAGATTTTTCCATGCTGTGCGATAGAGTTTATAGGTAACTTATCCTGGCCCAGATAAACCTTTAGGATGCCTAAGTGCTTATGCATAAGCCTTAGTAGTTAGCTTTCCTACTAGTCTTGTTTGAATTAAGTTATCAAACTAGTAACCAGTGGGGTTTAATCAAGGTCGTTTTGTTAATTATAAGATGGGAGAGTAATAAGTGGAAATGGAGATGAAGTTTACAGTATTCATCATTAAATAAATCATTACTGAGTCACCACTGGCAGGCACTATTCCAAAAAATGGCTTACTTTTTTATTTAATAAGACTTTTTGAGATGATAAGAATTACTGGTAACACACTACGCGTAAGTATTTATTTCTGGTCTTTTCCTCCAGGAAAAGGGATGCTTTGGTAATTTAGACCAGCAGTCCATTAAATGGGAATGTCACAGGTGGGTTCCTTCAAGAATGCCACCAACCAGTACAACAGCAGCAAGAAGGAGCCTTTAACTTTCCTTAGTCCAGAGCCATCCTTTCTTTGGTATTCACTAGAATTCTTTGGTCACTAGAATAAGCAGGATATAGACAACCGTGACTATGTTTGCTTTTTGTTTTGTTTTATTTTTCAACTTTTAATCTTTGGGCACTTAAAAGTTGCTTTAAAATAAAGTTCTGTTACTGAACATGACATCCACCAAATATCTCTGTGTGTTTGATAAATTTCAGGCCGGCTCCTGAACTTGTCTTTGATTTTTGTCTTCCTGCAATACTGAAAGAGTTGCACTGGTTTCTATACCCAGACACTCTGATTGCTGGCAAATTGAAGGTTCGGGTGAGGAAGAGGTAGATTATAGTACATCTAGTTTTATTTACCTGAACAGGGGAATGGCCACATTCATCTGTTGTTCAGGGGCTAAGGGAAAAAGACTATGGAAAGTAGTATAGTTAGGATGGACCAGGAGAAGAATTGATTGCTTATCATCCACAGTATATTTTTAGATGAAATATGTAAGTCATATCATTAAGCTTTTGCTTCTGTTTCAAAGCAAGTCACATATATTTCAATGATAAAATCATGTAAAAATTTGCAGTTACAATGACTATTACAGATACCATTTTTTGTAGTTATCCATTAGTGAATTAGTTTATTTGAATCCATTTTATATAGTAAAATTTGTATTTGGAGAAGACTATGTAAAATTGGCATTTGAAGAAAGCTAATTCTAAAATCTTTGCTGCTGCTTTGCTTCCATTTTAGTTTTTAAATCAGGACTCCTAGGGGTTAGCCAAAGATGGCTCAAAAGCAGAGATGAGCCTGGTCAGCCATGTCTGTGATGCATAAGGACATGGGATTTATTATTCCCTATTGTTACACATCATTTTAGTGTTATTCATTCACGAAGTGGTACTGTAGAATTCAGATATCAGAGTTGAGAATGTAACTACCGGATCTTCCTACATTTTCAAACCTGTGACTAGTATGCAACTGTGACCATTTTTGAATAGCTTCATCTTTGGAGTTGGCTCTGAGTTGTCCAAGCAATGACCACATCTTAAAGCAGCTTGAGATCCTAGAGTTGGGTTCTTCCTTGTCCCCTGTCTAGATGTCCACTTCCAGGGAACTTCTGGTAGGATAATATGCTTCTGCACATGAAGCAGTGCTCACATCCAGGCACTTAGGAATTGTGCAGACTTCCTCAGGGATGAATTTTGCTGATACTTCTCTGTGTGTGTGTGTCAGAATGTGTGCCTGTTAGAAGAAATCTCCATTGGGCTGAAGTTAGCCAGCTTGGTGACAGAAAGGAAAAAAATAATCCTCCTGATCATGTTGCCACTTCCAGAGAAAGAGAGGTCAGAGATTAGGTATTGTCTACCACACCTGCACACTCTTTCTACTGGGTAGTATATAGTTATAGTCCTTTATTTTCCTAGTCCTTTCTTATTTTGACAAAATGCAATGGGAGGTAAGAGCTTTATTAGACTAGATTGATCATCTGCAGTGTCATTTTTAAATTCATTTTTATGCTTTAACAAGTGACACATAAGAGTTTTCAAAATTCAGCTTCCCTTTCCCCTAGAAAGACTTCCTTCATCCTCAGAAACACACCAACATTGCCTCAAAAGGGCAGATCTTGGTCCCATTTTTGCATTTTCCATAATTGGATTTTGTAATTTTGGGCTCGTTATATAATACTCTTGTTGTATTTAATTATGCCTTGCCTCACAGAAGATCTGGATGTGGCAGATGCCTTGTCCTGCTCTTACTGAAGGGTTTTCACATTGGACTGGGAGAGAAATTTAAACCACTGGTCCCAAATGAAATATGGAATATTTGAAATCTAAGAATATTTTAATCATCCAGTCTCCTCTAAGAAGAAAGTTATTTTGCACAATTAAGGGTCCAATTAAAGTCATTCCTTTTCCGTAATTAGCAGTTTTGTTTATTCAGGAGTTCTGTGGTTGAGTGTGACCCCCTAAAAATGTATTAGAAACTTAATTGCAAAATCCCTATATTAATGGCATTTGGCAGTGTGGCCTGTAATAGGTGAATAGGATTACATTAAGCCATGAGGATGGGTACCCCTGGCAGCATTAGTGGCTTTATCAGAAGAGGAAGAATGGCCTGAGCTAGTATGCTTGCTCTGTCTCCATGCATGATGCCCTATGACATTTTGAGATACCAAGAAGTCCTTCACCACTGCCATGTACCTACTCACTCTTCCCCCTTCTTCAGTGAACTAATTTGAAACAAATGACAAACATCAAAGATGATAGATTTGGAAAAGGAAACTAGCTTAAATAACCTTTCAGTTAAAGTGAAAGTTCTCTTATGAACTTTGTCCTTTTTGGCACTCCAAAGAAACCAAGTGATAGCCATTGCAAATAGTCCAACTCAAGTTGTGGCTTCTATGCACTCTCTTTTATCTCTGCTTGCTGTCTAGAGTCCTGCCAGCTTGCTGCATGTGTTTTCTACAGGACAGTATGAGTACCTCCATGTTTAAAGGTAATACAGAGACCATTTTGATAAGCCTCTGAAATATTTTATACTATTAAAATGAGTAGATGTACTGATATTATTGTAAATCATGCTTAATCACTATGGGAGAAGAGAGATGCAAAACAGAAGAAGGTAAAGAAAGACTCCGTGTGACTTTTTCCCTCTCTTTTTCCCCAGCCTTTCCCACTAGCAAGCTCTGATTGTGTCCACTGACAGGGCCTGGAACCATAACCTACTAATAATTATCATAGTTAGCTCCCTCAAACTTGGTTCCTGTATACTATTCCACAGGAATGGGTGTTTGGAATGTTCCAGATTTGAGACAGATAAAGTGCAAAGTAAGCTTAGAACATCTTGATGAGTCAGAAAATAAGAAAATCCAAAGTCTAATAGGACACAAAAGTTGACTTAAAGGACCAAAACTGAGAAAATGGAGATTTTTAAAAAAGGGAAAGACAGTAATAAATTATAAAATACTGAATTAAAAATAACCTGTAAGATCATATTTTTTAAGGGGGAAAGGGAGCAAAATAATAAAACTTTATGGAATAATCCTAGCTTCCAATATAATAACAGATTCAAGCAAGGATCAACAGTGAATGGTAAAACCATTGAGCTTTAGAGAATTGATCATGCATAGTCTTAACTCAATAATTGCATTAATCACAAAGGCAATAATGCACTTTCACTCTTGAGAGATCAGTTAAACACCACTGCAACCAAGTGATTTACCTTAGCCTGGATGAGTCAAATGGTTGTCATATCATCTTATGTGCCTCCCATATGTGCCTCATTAGGAAGTACACATTACCTACATAGTCTTCCTGCCAAAACTTTTTCTCTGAATCTAATAATGAAAAAGAACTAAGACAAATTCATAATATAGGATATTCCCAACAACTGGCTTGGGCCAGTAGTGTGTGTGTGTGTGTGTGTGTGTGTGTGTGTGTGTGT